GACTGCTTATCTACCTACTCAGGAATTGTGAGGGCAAACTATCTGTCACACTCCCCCGCACCAATTATCTAAAAAATAATTTCAGCTATAGTGGTGCAGTGATGTGGTACAGCTTACCTACCAATTTAAGGCTAGTTTTAAATCCGGCTGCATGCTGCAGGGTTTCCTTTTTGATAACTGATAAATCACACGGCGTTTATGGAAAGCGGGCACCTCGTTATTGTTTTTATATTGTTGTTATTGAATTTAATTACTAGTAGATTAGTATCATGACAATGTAATAAATGCAATTTTTACTATTTATTTTAAGTCCTGATGTTTTACCCGTGTATAAATAAAGTTAAATAAATAAATATCAGGCGGCCGGCGTGGCAGGAAAACACATGGCTGCCCAGGTACTCATTAAGAATACAGAAAAATGAAGAAATGATTAGATAAAAAAGATGAGTTAAAGGCTCTTGTTTCCACTAAGGATCGTTACAGTCATCGAAATTACTCAGCTATCCTGTGTAGCGGAAAAGTGGTGTGAATTGCGCGAAAGTTAGGCGATAGACACTCGACACGAAGTTGGATAGATTCTGAGTCTCAGGGCTTATCATTTCTCTTCCCCAGGAGGGGCTTGGGTATCAAACCGGAAATAAGATCATCCTGCGGACGAGGCTTGAACTCGACACCGCGCCGCAGACAACTTTTCAGCGAAAATAATGAATTAATTCCCTGCGGATGAGAGCTCGTTTCTGGCTTTTAAACATTGTTTCTCGATGTTTTAGACTCAGATAAATCTTGACGAGATCGTTATGCCATCTCTTGAGAACTATATTCAAAAGATTCATAAAAAATTGAACAATGAGGGACTCGAAGAACGAAAGGTAAACTTGTCTTTGTGTATATTGTTACCTGGGTGAATTTTATGAATTCACGTCTTTAAATGTGCTTCTTGTTTTTCTTGTAAGATCAGTCATGCTGGAAAACTAGCACTTCATTTAATTGACTACTTTGCTTATTTTTCGCTTCAATTTGTAGATCAAAAAATATCTTGAAGAACTTGATCGTCTACAAATCACTCTGGATGTTTTGAAAGTAAGTCTCTTCGTAATTTGCATTTTATTAAATTTCCATTAGCTCTAAAGATTTAAGCGATCTTGTATACGGCAGATTCCACATTTGGAATCAACGAAATGCTTTTCGCGTGTGTGTTGTATTTTTCAGGATATCTTGACTAATAAAACAACGACAATTGCATGGTGTGTTCTCTCACCTTTATTTTCAAATGCATCATGGATATGATGACGTATGAATGTATTACACTACTTTCCCCCACAGAGTAAAATGGGGTTTCTCTCTCAACATAACTCAACAATAACAAGCAACAAATGAAAATACCTAGATGCTTAAAGGTTAAGTCTATCAACAGGTTTTTTAATGCTTTTAGATCTCCTCAAAATACATGGAGAGGCGGAAGCGTCATGACCTAAACTAAAAGGTGCCATTGGCACAGTTGAACTTCAGCTATCTGATATCTGTGACAATTCTGAGTTTTTGTGAGGATTTTCCTGTATTTCTTGCTTAGGCTGTTCATGTGACTCGGGAACCATAACTTCAGCCTCCTCAACCATATAAAGCCCTAAAATCAAATGATCAGCGTGGAAATAATGATTCCGACATCCTGTTTTAACAATATATGTTCTGGGACCACAAACTTTGACAACTGTCCCTGGAACCCATCTATCAACCTGAGATTTTGGTCTGGTGTTTCATACATGCACTCTGTCATTTTCTTGGAAAAATCTCTCTGTATCAACTTTAGGATCCTTATAAACTGTTTGCTTAGTTTGCTTGTGTTGAACAGCTTGATCTAGATCAGGTTTACCTAAGCCTAGCCTTGTCCTCAATTTACGTTTGTCTATAAGTTCTGCTGGGGTCACACCAAAAAGTTTGCCAATCTATAACAACGAAGTGTTAGTGTAAGAATACAGCCCCTTGTGCGTATTTATAGTAAGGTATTCTTGGCTTTCTTTGTCAACACTAAGTTGAGCGACAAATCAAGTTTACTAAAAACTTTGGAGCTACTAAGGGCAGTGTACAAGTCCTGTGTGGTTTGAAGAGGGTCTGGTTCATCCTCTGCTGACTGGTTTCTAGTGACCTTATAATCACCGCATATTCTGACTGATTTGTCAGCTTTGGGTACTACCACTATTGGGCTTGCCCACTGTGACCTCTCAACCTTCTTTATGATTCCATTCTTCTCCAGCTTATCTAACTCACTTTCAACTGCATCTTTTAAGAAATAATTATGGCACCTTTCTGGGTTTAAAGAAAACAGGTTTTGCTACTTTTTTAATAGTTATATGGGCCTCCAAACCCTGAAGATCTTTGTAACTTTCCTCAAAGAGAACCTTGTGCTTTGAAATTAAGTTGTTAAGCTGATTTGTGTTTCCATGAGGTTCTGGGCTTCTAATCTGGAAGATTTTCTCCCAATCCAACTTAACACGAGTAAGCCAATCCCTCCCAAGCAAGGTTGGTTTCCCTGTGTAATCTGCAACTAACAAGGGTAACAAGTAAATCTGGCCCTTATATCCCACATCACATCTCATTTCCCCACACACATTCACCGGCTCCCCCGTATAGGTCTTAAGTATAGCATTTGAAGGTGCAAGGGAGAAGCTACTAAATTTTTGTGTATAAGTACTCTTACTCATAATTGAGCCATCCGCTGTGGTATCCACTTCAATCTTGCACATACAGCCATTGATTGACATGCTGACTTTGTACTTATCATTCTTCGATACACTGGTTTCAACAGAAAATATACCCAGTTTATCATATTCATCATTACTTTGCATGTTGTGAATGCTACCCTTAGACGAAACTGAGTTGGCTTTGTTTTCTTCACTTTTATCACGACATCCTGTGGGGATATGCCCTATTTTGGAACACTTAAAACATTTAGCATTTTTAAACTTACAACTATTATAGTTGTGTTCTGCTCCACATCTAAAACATGATTTGTTTGACGAGTGTTCCTTTGCACTAACTTTCTCAGTTTTAAGTTGGTTAACAGTTCCTCTTTCACTTTCTCCCATGGCAACAGCAGGGAGAAATTCTTGCGAATTCTTCTCAGCCATCTGCATGGACTTTGCAATCTGACATGCTCGATCAAATGTAAGGTCTTCAGTATTCAGCAACTTGTTTTGTATCTTGACATTGTTGAGACCATAAATCGATCTCTCAGAGCTCTGTCCAGAAACTGTCCATAATTGCAGTAGATAGGCAATTTCTTTAGTGCAACAATGAAATCATTCATGGATTCACCTTGCTTTTGATTACGTGTGCCAAAGTGAAAACTTTCTGCAATTTCGAGTGGATGCGGATTGTAGTGTTTTTCCAGAAATTTGATTAGTTCAGTCAGTGGAATTTCCTTCAGCTTCTTGGGCGCCACAAGATTGCTTATTGTAGAATAAACTTCAGGCTCAACTTCTGTGAGAAAGATTGCCCTTTGTCTGTCTTTGACCAGTTCATTGGTCACCTCGTGATCTTCGCCTGCTGCTTCGATGATACCATTTGCAGTGAAAAACATCTCAATTCTTTCAACATAAGCACTGAACGTCTCTCTCTCAGGACTAAACTCCCTGACTTTACCTAAAAGTGCCCTGCCAGCCATCCTTGTTGCCAGAAATGTTGTATTTTTCAGGATATCTTCACTAAGAAAACAACGACAACTGCATGGTGTGCTCTCTCACCTTTAGTTTCAAATGCATCATGGGTATGATGACGTATGAATATATTGCAGTGTGAACCATTTAAAGTGTAGAAATATCGAATTATACGTTACCTTTTTGTTTTTCCTTGGAGAAAGGAAGCTTATAAATTGAATTTAATATGATTATAGAATGATATGTGAATATGATCTGTCTCCCTCATGAAGACGAGATCATGCTTGTTAGTCACTGAAGTAAGCTACTTTTAATCTATTTAACAATCCCTGTGTGAATTTTCAAGATTGGCATATGGTGATTGGTGAGTTTTGAGCCCTTTGTTTCCAATGCTTTTAAAGGGTTGTCATGTGGTCAGGGGAAGAGAATTTACAAAATTATCAACCAGGGGACATGTCCCCAATATAACAAAAGAATAATGATGATCTAAAAGTAATGCTGTGTATCAGTTTTTTAGGCATAATAATATACATGAAAAAATTTCTTAGTTCTGATTGGTTAAGATGAATGCAGTTTTCAGTTAATTCAGTGCAGAGGAGAGTTAATTCAGTGCAAAGAAACAAACAAACCAGACATTCTGATTGGTCAGAATGATTGGTCAACGTCAAGGTCAATGTCAAGGTCAATGTCACTTGCAGGGTTTGAATAAGTTATTTTTGCACATGATGCGCACGCTTTTGTTCTGCGTAGTTATAAGAAGCTACCTTGTATTATTTCATGTATATTATTAATAGATAATCACATGATTTTCTCGTGCAATTTGGAATAAATAAGCACTTGTAAATTTTTTCAAAGACCACAAATTGCACTTGCCCTACGGGCTCATGCAATTTTGTTACTCTTTGAAAAAATTTACTCGTGCTTATTTATTCCAAATTGCACTCGAAATCATGTGATTACCTATACTAATGTTTGATGACTTGCACAAATATTATTATATCCATGTCTTTTCTCTGAAGTCAACCGGGATTGGAAGGGCTGTGAATCGTCTCCGAAAAAGAGGCAATGACATTGGGGATATAGCTTCCTCTCTTGTGTCAAAATGGAAAGATCTCTTGAAACAAGATAAGGACACTAGCATTTCACCACCTGATGTTGATGATAAAGATTTACTTACTCCAAGAGGTCCTGCAGCAACTGAATCAGAGGTGGATCTTCTTAACAACAAACATCACAGGTCCAGTCACAAAAGTGGAGAAATTAACTCAAAGGTACCATCAGAATTATACCTCTGGGCCTAGTTTTTCAAAAGAGGGTTAGGTTGGCCTAACCTTGGGATAACATTTTAGTCTTGTTATTCAAAGTGAGGTTAATACTAACCTCAGGTTAAGCAGCAGGTTAAATTGAACTCATCAGACAAGCAAGGTTAAATAGCTAACCTCTAGCTATAAGAGTGCCATCGATCTCGTACGCCAAAATGTTACAAGGAGTCCGTGAATTTTATATAATGAATTATAAGTATTGCAATTCACACTTGAAACAAAGGGTGCATTATTTTAAACAATTATTGATAAAAATTTTATGAAGCTATCAGAAGCTCATCCTGGTCTTTGCAGCATGGTGCAGTTATAAGCATGTCTTCCTTCCTATATGGGATGCTACTTCATCACAGGTTAAACCTTTCCTTGTCCCTGTTTCCTTTCCCCTTCCCTGTTTCCTTTCCTTGTCCCCATTTCCTTACCTTGTCCCCATTTCCTTTCCTTGTCCCCGTTTCCTTTCCTTGTCCCCGTTTCCTTTCCTTGTCCCCGTTTCCTCTCCTTGTCCCTGTTTCCTTTCCTTGTCCCTGTTTCCTTTCCCTGCTAAGGTTTGAATGTGACTTCTTGCTATGAAGTCTGACACGTCTCCCACACATTTTTTACAATAAGTATAGGTAATCGCATGGGGCGGAGTAAAATTAAGGATTAATATCACGCGTGTTTTTGGAAGTTGCTGAAATTGCCCGAGTGGCGCAGCGACGAGGGCAATTTTTGCAACTTCCAAAAACACAAGTGATATTAGTCCTTAATTTTACGAGGAACCATGTGATTACTTGTTTATAATATAAGGGGCAAAAGTTTTCTTACTGATCTCGTGAAAAACGGGACGCCATTGTTACAAAACAAACAGAAATTTCTTTACCTTGGCAGCCGTTGCTAAGCGATTTTCAGCCAATCATTTTCAGGTAATTTTGCCTGGGGCAATTTAAAAAATTAAGAAAAAATGCCCTCTGTCTTGACGAATCACAATTCAGTAATTTTGCCCCCTATATGATAAGATGTTAAATCTGTGTTAAAGTGGACTTTTTTTTATTCAGACACGGCCAACACTGCAACTTTGTGATGTGTCATTTGGATGTGAACCTGTTAATGTGAAACCAAAGAAAAGACCTTTATCGTCAGTTGGTACAGCAACAAAATCGTCGTCACGTGACATAAGAACAGATGAACTGGATCTTCCACCTCTGCCATCATCATCTTCAGTCAACAACGCTCTGTTGCCAGACATCCAACCAAGTTATAAACCAATAAGACTACCTGAGTTCCCAGATGGTTCACCTAAAAAGCATAGAGGTATCAAATAAAATATTTTATTTATTTTTCTAAAATTTCTCAAAGCATGTTTATCTCAATTTAGGGTCTCCATGCCCCTGATGTGCCTAGTATGTGCTATCACTCATGTGTGAAAAAAAATCATCTTCACAGAAGTTACACTTAATCTGTGTGCAGCAATGAACAATGCTTATCATTGATTTTACTTGTGCATCTCTGCTTGATTTTCATCTTGTCTGATTTGCCTTCCGCCAGGGATCAAACCAGTTCGAAATTGTTGTAATCTAAAATCATGTTAAACTGCAACATACACACACAGTAGTGAGACCTCTAGAATGAGAGATTGATGGTCAATGATTTCTGAATTCATTTGTCTCTTTCATCCAAGGTTTAGTCACTGGTGTGGTTGATGAGCATGCACTCATGTCCAGAAAATCCCGCACTCAAGTATTCTCTGGACGAAAAGTGGCAACTACGGTCACAAGTTAGTACACCTTGATTTTTATGAAATAATTTTTTTTTGTCAGTGTTAATCATGTTTATTCCCTATTCTCTCGCTAATTGCCAATTTTACTTTCATAGACATTCATTATGTTTATGATTCCTGTAAATTAAATGGGCATCTTTAAAAAGCTCAGCAGAGCTTGCTAGATCTCCTGCCGTAAAAAAAAAAAAAAATTGTGATGAATTACATTGTATAATATTGTTTGAATTTTAACCTTTTCATTACTTAACCCTTTGACACCTAAGAGTGGCTGGCATCTAATTTCTCCTTACAATATCACCCCTGAATCAAACATTAAGGTCAGGAGAATAAAGGAAATGATCACCTACTGAAGAAGCTCTTGATTGTTGAACAAATTCTCCTTGAAATAGAAGCTAGCGCTAAGAAGTCACGATGTTTCGACCTCTCTGAGGTCATTTTCAAGTGAGTAAGTTTTCCAAATCAGCATAATTATGTTGAAGCAAGTTGAAGACAATAAAATGTGGCGAATGCTAAAATATGTGAAAAAGTGTAAACAATATACAATGGAAGAGAATAAAAGAAAAAAATAATAAAATAATTGTGGCACGAATTGTTCTAAACAAAATGATAGTTTGGTGCGAATTGAATCGCACTGTTTGTTTAGTGTTGGTTTCAGTTCTTTGATAAAAAACATTTCAAAGACAAGACAGTCAAATTTGTTCTGACACTTCCTTAAGATTCAAAAACTCTGTGTGATGTCTTCTGGCTCCATGTCATGCTGCTCTCTGATTCTAAAGGAAGTGTCGGAACAAATTTGACTGTCTTGTCTTTGAAATGTTTTTTATCAAAGAACTGAAACCAACACTAAACAAACAGTGCGATTCAATTCGCACCAAACTATCATTTTGTTTAGAACAATTCGTGCCACAATTATTTTATTATTTTATTCTTTTATTCTCTTCCATTGTATATTGTTTACACTTTTTCACATATTTTAGCGTTTACCACATTATATCGT